AAAAACAGTCCTTAGGCTGGGTGCAGTGGCTTACACCTGTAATCCCAGCACTTTGGGAGGCTGTGGCAGACAGATCACCTGAAGTCAGGAGTTCAAGACCAGCCTGGCCAACATGGCGAAATCCCGTCTCTTCTAAAAATACAAAAATTAGCTGGGTACGGTGACCTGTGTACCTGTAGTCCCAGCTACTCAGGAGGCTGAGGCAGAAGAATCAGTTGAACCTGGGAGGTGGAGGTTGCAATGAGCTGAGATCATGCCATGCACTCCAGCCTGGGCGACAGAGCAAGACTGACTCAAAAACAAGAACAAAACACAGAAAAACCAACCAAACAAAAAAACCCAGTGCTTAATATTACCACCCTGTCTTCTAAGCCCTTTTCTTTTAGTCTTTCAGAAGTTTTGTAATCTGTATCACAATTTATAATGCAAACAACTGTACATTCTCTTTTTTATTTTTTATATTAAAATTATTTATTTATTTATTTATTTTCAAAGGACAGTACATTCTATGTCTGCCCTATAAGACTTCACATTTCACATGTTAGAAAAATGAACTTTAGAAAATGGCCTTTACTTTGTCTGATTTAAAGATGAGAAAGAGACGATAATTTGTTATCAAGAACTTCCAGCTTGCCAACCTTCTATCGTCACCATTTTTTCACTTTTAAATGTGATTCTAAATTTTCCTTTTCTGTCATTACATAAGTCACTAAATTCACAGCATGGTGTTTCTTCTTTAAAGACGAGTTTGTCTATTTCAGATTTGGTCAAAGCAAAAAACTGACCTCAGGTGTGAGGATGACTTAAAGGAGAAAGGTGATGACACGTTTTTAAGATCAGAAAAAGGAAATGCACTTGCACCAAAGTAAGAAAGTTTAGATTGAATGATGTCAAAGATTTGTATTCAGTTTGGTTGCTATGTCTCCTAATCTATTAGTGTGGCACAGTACTCTCAACTCTGGAATCACCTGGGAGCCTTTAAAAGTATTGATGTGTAGGTCCTTCTCCAAAAGATTAGAATGTAATTGGTCTGGAATGGCTTGGGCCTTGGGACTTTTCATAGTTCCTCAAATGACTTCAGCACTGTCAGCACTGTGAATCGTTATTCTGGAACATGCTTTATATATTCACCTATGTTAGATGAAAATAGGAACACTTCCTGCCTGAAGACCAATAGCAATCTACATAACTTGAGGCTCCTTCAGTACAGATTGGGAGTTATGCCTTGTAAAAGAGTGCCTGGCAGAGAGGATGAACAGGGCTAACATACAGCATGCTCTTCACTCACTAGGTAAGCTGTGCTCTGACTCAGTGCTGTATCTCCTGGATAAAGTGGGCACCTTTTTCTAATGAGCACAGTGTACAGGCTAACTTGACCCTGCAACTGTGCTTCTTTTCTTTCAACCTGCGTGGAGACATATTGCCTTTACATTAAACTATTTTCTGACTTCAGCATTCTCACTAACATTCTAAACCACCAGGTTCTTCAAAATTCATATTTTCCATTTTTGTCTTGAAGTGAGCATATGTATATGTGGCAGAGACATTTTAAAGCTGCAAATTCCGGTTCATTGACATCTCAGTAATAAATTAGCCTTTAGCCATGTGGAATTAGATTAATTTGGAGACTGAAAAAGCAATGAAAGTGAGAAACCTCAGGAAAGACAAACTTTATAATGGTTGTACCTTGAATACTCATAGTTGACTAGTTAGCTCTCTTCTTTAGAATACAATCGTAATGAACCAGGTTTATAATTTCAGTCCCATAGTTAGCATCAATATAGGAGAAATCTCTGTTCCATTGTCACAGACTGAAACTTTGTTCCCAGCCAGATTTTTCTTTAATACAAGTTGGAATGAAGTCAGGGCACTTCTTACCCATTACCATTACTGGAAAAACAGCTCCAAGTGGCCTCATATGGAATTACATTCAGCGAATGTCAGCTCCATCATAACTAGAAAGATCATTCCTACTAACCAGTGCAAAACATATGCAGGTGTTAGGCAATACCATTCAGGACATAGGCATAGACAAAGACTTCATGACTAAAACACCAAAAGCCAAAATAGACAAGTGGGATCTAATTAAACTAAAGAGCATCTGCACACAAAAAAAGAACTATCATCAGAGTAAACAGGTAACCTACAAAATGGGAGAAACTTTTTGCAATCTATCCATCTGACAAAGGGCTAATATCCAGAATCTACGAAGAACTTAAACAAATATACAAGGAAAAAACAAACAACCTCATCAAAAAGTGGGCAAAGAATATGAATAGACACTTCTCAAAAGAAGACATTTATGCAGCCAACAAACGTGAAAAAAAGCTCATCATCACTGGTCATTAGAGAAATGCGAATTAAAACCGCAATGAGATACCATCTCACGCCAGTTAGAGTGGTGATCATTAAAATGTCAGGAAACAGCAGATGCTGGAAAGGATATGGAGAAATAGGAATGCCTTTACATTGTTGGTGGGAATGTAAATTAATTCAACCATTGTGGACAATGTGGTGATTCCTCAAGTATCTAGAACTAGAAATACCATTTGACCCAGCAATCCCATTACTGGATATATACCCAAAGGATTATAAATCATTCTACTATAAAGACACATGTACAAGTATTTTTATTGTGGCACTGTTCACAATAACAAAGACTTGAAAACAAACCCAAATGCCCAGCAATGATTGATAGACTGGATAAAGAAAATGTGGCACATATACACCATGGACTACTCTGTAGCCATAAAAAAGAATGAGTTCACGTCCTTTTCAGGGACATGGATGAAGTTGGAAACCATCATTCTGAGCAAACTAACACAAGAACAGAAAACCAAGCACCAGATGGTCTCACTCATAAGTGAGAGTTGAACAATGAGAACACATGGACACAGGGAGGGGAACATCACACACTGAGGCCTGTCAGAAAGTGGGGAGATAGGGAAGGGATAGCATTAGGAGGAATACCTGATGTAGATGTTGGGTCAATGGGTGCAGCAAACCACCATGGCACGTGTATACCTATGTAACAAACATGCATGTTCTGCACATGTACCCCAGAACTTAAAGTATTATTTTAAAAAAGGAAAAATAAAAAAAAGAAAGGTCCTAAAGAAAAGAAAGTATAAGCGAATAAAGAAAAGCATGTAATAAATAGTTGCTACTTTGACTTTCAGGAAGGCATTATGTAGCGACTTCGTATTTTGGCTCTTAAAAATGCAGTATGTGGTGAGTATGTTCATGCTGTCTACATCCTGAGGTCTGTCCTTATAATTAAAAACATAAACATACATGTTTAATATTCTGGCTTCTTCAGAATAGGGACCAGATCTTTTTCATTAGTAGATGCTCACTAAAATGTGGTGAGAGAGAAAGCTAAATCTTATATTAATTTCCAATAGGAAACTAGCAAGAATAAAAGATGTTATAAAGAACTGGTCTTTGGAATTGAAGGAAGTAATACTTTAGGCTGCAGTCAGGCAACGTAGCCGTTTATCCAGCAGTTGTCATCCATTGGAAAGAAAAAGTTCAAATGAAAAGTGGCAGAGTTCTTGACACCATTGAAACTTGAAATGGTTGAAATTAAAAAATACCGTACACTAATTTTTTGAATATGCATATTTATGGGATAGTTTTTAAAAACTTATTTAAAGGTAAAAGAATGCACTGTAGACTAATATCAGGTAGATTTTTAAATCTTTTTTTGATTTTTTAAAATCTTTTTAAGTTTTTTAATCTTTTTTTAAATTTTTTAAAATCTTTTTTTAATTTTTTTTTTTAATCCATCAGTCATTCCAGGAGGCTTCTCTCCTCATCATTTAGTATCAGGTAGATTCTTGTAGGAAAGGGCAAAGGAGAAAAGCAGGCAAGTCTTACATAATTTGTTTTAACCCAAATTTTTAGAAACAAAACTATTGCAAATTTAATTCTTTTTGAAAGCTGTAGGATGAGATTTTGCCATATGAACCCAGTTTTCAAGAAGGACATTCTTGAAAACTTCTTCAAATACAGAAATGGCCTTCATACAGGTTGAATGGTAAATAATGAGGCTTATTTGTCATTTAGTACATACTTGATGGCATCAGTGATATTCACAATTATCTGAAAGGCATGCTCCTGTGTGTAAAATACTCATTTAAAAATAAATGTGTCTCTAAGTATATCCGCTAAAATTATAATAAACATAATTGTAATATTTCAATTATGAAAAAAACCATATGCAGATGCATTTGCATTTGTGATGGGAACCAAAGACAATATGATATAAAGCCTACAATTGTGGTTTTCTTGAAAGCTTCAGCAATACATTGTGCTAAGAAACAAACAAACAAACAAACAGAAACTCCGACCTACCAACCTGACTCATCTGACTGACAATCTGCTGTTAGAAAGGTGAAATTTCATCTTTATTGTAATACATTAGATACATTAGATTTTAAAAGGACAGCCAAGCATCATGTGAGTTCTTAACCATATGTTTCTGTACAAAATGAATCACCTAATGAGAAACAGGAAATCACCAATAAAGGCTATTTGTTAATTACACTTGAAGTTACAAGTAGAATGGAGGCAGCAGGGTTTCATTTTAAACCAGATTTAAACACTACATTGAAAGCATCAATAGAAAACTAGGAGATTTTAGACTGTCATTGACCTCATGTGCACTGAAACAGGTTAAGTGTCCCAGGACCAGCCCTGCTTGCCTCCCTCCCCAACCCCGTCCCAAATTATTGCTACTTAGATAAAGCAATTTTTATGTAGTTAATATTAGCACAAACCCTTTTTTCTGCTTGCTTGCTTCCTAGCAACCTGAAGCAGAGTATCTGCTTGCCAATCTGCTTTTGGTTAAAAAAAAAAATTAGAGCAGAATACCCAGTGAATTTGCCAATAGCCCTGACAAGATGGGAATGTATTCAATAAGCTCTCTGTTGATTTTTTGAGCCCAGTATATGATTTAAATTGTCAATTGTCTGATCCTGCTGGACTTTCTATTACAGGCCAGAGAAGACGTGATCCACATGCTGAAGACTGAGAAAACCAAGCCTGAGGTTCTGGAGGCTCATTACGGGTCTGCGGAGCCAGAGAAAGTACTGCGGGTCCTGCACCGAGATGCCATTCTTGCCCAGGAGAAATCCATAGGAGAAGATGTCTATGAGAAACCGATTTCAGAGGTAAAAATATGACACCAACAAGTCCCCTGGAAGTGAACCTCAGGGAGATATCTTCACATTCTTCCATTTACATGCTTTAACATTTCCTTTTAAAGGCAAAATTTTGATGATACACTAATATAGAATTAAAGTGTAATTAAGTAAGTCAAGGGTTATAGTGGATAAGCTTCAGTGTTAAGAATTGTAGAGGCTTTTCCTTAAACATTCCAAAGCCTGAATTATATTTTTCCATGTGGTTCTGATAGTTAAATGCTCTGGCAGTATATTATTATTTTACTTCTCTAAGAAATGATATGTGTAAAAATTTGAAGTACTTACCAGTTTTAACACTGAGCTGTCAGGATCCTTACCAAACTGGTAACCTAAAATTAAATTGATCTTATCACTAATATGGTTATAAAGACACCTTTTTGGAATTTCATGAACTCTGTCATAATTAAAATGGTCTTATGTGAGTGGCTAAAATACAGTAATAGAGGCAAAATCCTAATGAAATGCTTAGGGCATTTTTTAAGATGAAAGGAATTCTGATAGAGCTATGACTATTATTATCAATTACTCAGGATACCACATTTTAAAAATACTCCCACATTGTAGTAGAAGCTTGAGCCAGATTAGGATACCAGTTTTCCCCACTGACCCTTCAGACTTCATATAAAAAAATTTACAGATGTGAAATTAGTATTATGAATGAAAAAAAAACAGAAATTAAAAATCTGAAGCAACTTTTTATACATTTAACATGTAATTTATGTCAAGCCTTTGGAAAAGCTCAGTTTGACACCTCTCAGAGATAAGATCTGCTTTAGACAGCATTCACAACAGATTGATGGTCCCATAATTTTCTAATTTCTGCAGCAAGAATAAACTGGAGCTCTATTCTCATCTTTTCCTAAAGTATTAAGAGATGATTATATGATAGGATGCAGTCAACAGGCTGGATCTACTTTCATATCTGACACCTACCACTGCTAGCTGTGTATGACTATATACAGATCATATAAGCTCTTTATGCCTCAGTTTCCTTATCTGTGGGATGTGAGGAACCACAGTGTCCACCTCATAGAACTGCTGTGAGGATTTAATGAAGCAATGCCTATACAACTCTTAACATAGTCTCTGGCACATTCTAGGTACTCAACAAGTATTAGTCATTAGTATTTGCTGGGATTCAAGGATGATTACTGCTCATACCCTTAATTGGTTTGAAACTTGGGAAGATTTGAGGAGTAAAAGACATGGAGGTCAAAAACATGTATTTGTTTTTTATGATATTAATAATAATAATAACAACTTGGATTAGAGAACTCAGCTTGGATAAATGGTCTCATTTGGGCTTCTGAATTCTTTTCTTGCAAGTCTAGAGCTTGGGATGACATTCCTCACCCTCACCACCAAGGGAGAGGTGGGGCTGCAGAGCCTACACACTTACCAGTATCACTGCCTCCAAACCACCAAGTTCTATAAGCTGAACACAGAGAGAGGAGTTTCTGACCTACCTTTAGAAAGTAGGCCTGATCCAAATATTCCTAACTCAGGGACAGAGTATCAGAACAGAAAACACTCACCCTGTGAGTTGTCTTTCTGGAACTGGCTAAGCTGGGCGTATTTCATCGTTCCTTTCTCCTAACAATCTGAAGAGTCATTTCGCCTTTGGGGAGAAGTGAGTGAGAAGGCAGCGAGAGAGGGCAGAAAATACTTTTTCTACTACTGCCACAATGAAGTCCATTTTGATGACTTCAAATGAAATAGAGAAATAGAATGATGGAGAAAAGATTTTCTTCCACCACTTACAGATTTGGGGTCTGTTAACCCTTTGAAATTAACAGTAAAGTTCTTGTTACCCAGGATCAGAATCCTGCTTTCAAATTCATGAGGCGGGAACCACAATACATCCCTGTTCCATTAGCCTCCTGGGATCACAAGCAGGTAGTCTAGCTCTCGTTTCCTAGAAGCCATGTTATGCTTAATCTCCAAATCACTGCTCATTCTTATTTCCATACTATATTAGGACCAGCAAGGGTATCCAGTAGAACTCACCAGAGGTTAAGCAATGAACCCAATACAGTGGACCTTTTTCCCTTGCCAAATATCTGGGGAGAAATTAAACAGCAAATATTGAATATCTCTGCCCTTCTTTGTAAATGAAAGTCTGGAGTATCAAAATTCATAATTCTTATGCAAAATTCCAAAAACATTTAAGGTTTTGATTTCTTTCCTTCCTAATTTTATATTCTGCTTTGCCTTAGCCAGTGGGATCTCAACTGATTGTCTAGGTAGAGTTTGTTTTTGTTTTCCCCTTTAGTAAAAGAACCTGGACTCACTGGCATTTTCAAAGTTGTATTAATACATCCTGAAATTCCTAGATTCAACTTTTTTCTGAACAATCTAAATAATTATTAGGATACATCTAATTATCAGAGTACAACTTCACACTTATAAATTTAAAAAATACAACAGAGTCTCTAGCACTAAGATACATTTTTCTCAAGCAAAATGATATTCCTTGACCTTAGGACTTGGTATAAAGAAGGTCCATATTACTCCTACCAGAGACTGAAGCAGAGATTTAGGGCATGTCTGAGGGAAGGAAGGCAGATAGAGAAAATCTTCAGCTGCAGTAGGATTCTGGTAAGTCTGTTGTTACCAGAGCCTGTTGTCATCAGCAGCTTAATAATTACGGAAACGGCAAGCCTGAGGTTGGGTGGAGCCTGTCTGTGTGTATTGTCTTTGCCCTCAGTGAGTGGCATTCAAAACATTCCTGTCTTTTTGCAAAGTCAAGGGATTTGCAGTGGTGACCTCTTCAGTGCCTAGGTCTCATTTTAGGTATTCAATTTTCCAACCTGAGTATTTAAGACCTCTTTGATCTTTTTCTTTCTTCAGCCCCTGTTCCCAGGCCTAGGAAGCCTCTCTTCAGAGGGTGACCCTTCTGAAGCCTTTGTAATTTGGGGCCCAGAAGGGATCAGACCTTACTCTTCCTCAGAACTTAGCCTCCCCTCATGTTTGAACTTTCAATCCTTGAGTAACTTGTCTGACTCAAGGCAACAAAAATATTTTCTTCTGCCACAACTTTTTATGTGTAGGAAGACTCAGCTGAGTTGTTGCTTCAGGATTTTAGTCATTTTCTTCAAGTGGTCCCAGATATTTGTTTTTCTAATATTCCCTTTCATATTCTACATTATGTGTGTTCCCTCAATGAGAGAATCAAGGAATTCTGAGTCTGCCAAGAGTATTCTTTAACATAAATCTTACCTATTTTTATGTTCTTGAGTTGGATAATCTTCATTAAAGGGTCATTCTCCATTACACCACATCCATGTTTGGACTTACCTGATGTTTTCCTGCCTAAATCCCCTTTTCTTTGTCTAATATTTCCTTCAAACACCACATCCCAAAGTTTCTTGAGTAAGTTCACTCAGGGCCCCAGTAATATTGGCAATTCTGCCAGGCATAGTGGCTCACGCCTGTAATCCCAGCACTTTGGGAGGCCAAGGGGGGCAGATCACTTGAGGTCAGGAGTTCCGGACCAGACTGACCAACATAGTGAAACCCTATCTCTACTAAAATACAAAAATTAGCTGGGCATGGTGGCAGGTGCCTGCAATCCCAGGTACTCGGGAGGCTGAGGCATGAGAATTGGTTGAACTTAGGAGGCCTCGGAGATTGCAGTGTGAGCCGCGACTGTACTACTGCACTCCAGCTTGGGTGACAGAGCAATCCTCTTTCTCATAAATAAATAAATAAATATTGGCAATCCATCTATAACAGCTGAGACACTGAAAGTCACCAAATAATGCTTCAGATATCTTACCCTGACCTTCCCAGGTTTCTATTCTTAAATCTGTTCATATTTTATATAACCATTTTGAATGGATCTTGTAGTCTTTAAGGGAAGGGCCCCCAGGTGAGCTCATGAAAGACTATGCTCATTTACGGTGTGCTCCTCAATCCCTTCCTGGATCCCAATACCTTCTTTGTGAGGAAAGTCAACACTGCTCTGTCCTCTGGGCTTTCCTGTCTCTATGTTCTCTGGGCATGCATTCTGATTCAACAATGTGTGAAATACCTTCCATTTTTAATCCCTATTTTTAAGAGTACTTAGACGCATTTCCCCTTTGTGTAAATCTAGTTTGGTCTTTAAGAACTCATATTTACTTTTAAGTAGATCTCTGTTACTGAATTTCTTAATACTTCTCCAGTTAGCCCTTTGCAGGTAACAGAGCTAAAAACACTTTTTGAATCATGCCTTTTTTATCTAAAACATACTGAAATTTTTCAAGTTATTGTACTGCTCCACTAACTTTATTCATTTGAATAAGATTTCCAGGTACATTCTTTCCTCAGTAAATTTTTGGCTTTTGGTGTTATGATTATCTCATTCAATTTTCCTTCCACCTTGTCCAAGTAGAATCTATATTTCCAAAGTAATAGGTGCCCATTCTACTTTCACTAGTCATTTAATAAAAGCCATTCCTCTACACTGAACCATAGCTTGGATCCTGAAAACCAAGAGACGTGTACCTATATTATCTATGATTAATGAATCTGCAGACTCTACAGTTATGGGATGTAGTCTTCAGAGTCTCTGGACAAGCCACAGAGAGCCAAGAAAATAGGCTACCTCTGTTCCCTCTTAGGAGCTTGATATAGTTGCAAACAAAACAACAAGAAAGAGCATCTGGTACAGCTGATCTCTTCCTACCTATGTTACTCTTGCATCCAAAACTTAAAATTAACAGCGAAAATCTCACACACTAATGCTTTATAGCAGAAGAATTTACAGCCTCTGCAGTCTAAAGTCTGGATCAGCAGCTCTGCCTAAGAAACTCACAATATACATCAATGCCTCAGTAACTTACGCATTAAAAGATGAACAGATTGCTTTCCTGATAATGTAATTACTGTTGTGGTCAAGCTGTGCTAGTGTTGGTGAAGTGAACATTACCCACAAAGACTTCAGTCACCTACTCCAGTGGTTTAGTCCAGAACTGTAGCTATTGCACAGCTGGTCTCAAAAATCCACATGGACAGATGTAACAAGGCTAAGGTCTACCCTCTGACTAGGCAGCCCCAGAACACTTGATATTTCCATATGCTCTTTTTTTCTCCAGGTGTCCGTGTAATGACTATCTCTTTACATTTCTCAGTCACCTTTCCAATTGATAATGTTACCACCTTCCTCTCCAAAATTCTTTACATGGATTGAGAGATCCTGCAGAAGATTTTGAGCCTTGAGATCACACTGTATCATTGTATGACAGGTGGAGTAAAAAATAAGAAATGAAAGGTCTGGGCTGCACACATCCAGTTTCCTATTTCAAACAGACTTTCAAATAAGTCACCCCTCCTTCCTTTGGAAGGAGTTGGGTAGGGCCTGAAGAAACAGGGAAAATACTGATTGATCTTCAAATACTTTTCAAAGGATGGAGAGTCCTATTTTATGATAAAGCAGAAGGGCTCAAAAAGCAGGAAAAGTTGTTTTTCCTACATTTTTTATGATGATGTTTCAGCAGTGCTTGACACGTTCTCAAAATATGTTGAAAATCACATTTGAGGAAACTTGGAAGGTTCTTGGGGAGGATATTTTGTAATAGGGAACGGAGCTATTAAAATGGGAAAACCTCGCGTATAGACTGTCCCTTTAAGACTGCAAAAACTGACCAAGTGCGGTGGCTTATGCCTGTAATCCCAGCACTTTGGGAAGCTGAGGTGGGCGTATGACTTGAGGTGAAGAGTTCAAGACCAGCCTGGCCAACATGGTGAAACCCCATCTCTACTAAAAATACAAAGACTATCTGGTGTGGTGGCAAACACCTGTAATCCCAGCTACTCGGGAGGCTGAGCTAGGAGAATTGCTTGAACCCGGGAGGTGGAGGTTGTAGTGAGCCGAGAGTGTGTCATTGCACTCCAGCCTGAACAACAAGAGCAAAACTCCGTCTCAAAAACAAACAAAAAAACTAAAAAAATTTATTAGAACATGTAAAAATACAATTAGCAATTCCTGATGATCTCGGATATCATCAGCCACCAATTAACATGGGCTTCTCCAACAGTCTCTATCTGATCATCTGCTCCTAAAGAAAGGAAGTGGAGATCTGGGAAGAAGATAATGTGAACAGTCTCTCTTTTATTTTGGGCCCCAGAAATGATTCACTCACAATGAACGTATCATGTAATCATTTAGAGAACTTCAAGTCCTCCTTGTAACTGAAGGGCAAACAGAAGGCTAAAGAGGAATAGCTCTGTTGCTGAGACCCCAGGGAGCTACCCTGTAGGGCTTTAGGAAGTTGGCTGTGAGATTGAGAACTGATTTTAAATATATGTTTCAACTAGACCAATGCTTCTCAGTTGAGGTGGTGGTGGATTTTTCCTTCCAGGGAACATTTGGCAATGTCAGGATAGTTTCATTATCACACAGGAGATGGTGCTTACTGGCATCTAGTGGTCAGAGGCCAGGGATGCTGCTAAACATCCTTAAGTTCACAGCACCCCGAAATAAAGATTTATCTGGCCTTAGCAGTGCCAAAGTTGCAGAAACCTGAACTAGAATTCAAAGGGGAGACTAGGATAGTGGGTTGAATAGGGAAATATCAATAATGTAAGATTTAGTCCAATTTAACAAATACTTACTGAGCACCAACTTTGTTCCAGGGCCTGTGCTTAGCACCAGGGACTAAAAAGGTGATCAAGGAACGATCTCTTTAAAATCACATAACCTGGCCAGGCTGAGTGCAGTGGCTCACGCCTGTAATCCCAGCACTTTGGGAGACCAAGGCAGGTGGATCACCTGAGGTCAGGAGTTTGAGACCAGCCTGACCAATGTGATGAAAACCTGTCTCTACTAAAAATATAAAAATTAGCCAGGCATGGTGACGTGCACCTGTAATTCCAGCTACTCAGGAGGCTGTGGCAAGAGAATCACTTGAACCCTGGAGGTGGAGATTGCAGTGAACTGAGGTCGTGCCACTGCATTCTAACCTGGGCAACAGAATGAGATTCCATCTCAAAAAAAAAAAAAAATCTTGTAACCTGACCAGAGAAGGAGGCACAAAATCCCACTAACAATATTTGTGGGTTTTCTTCATATATGATTGTTATTTTTGGTTTTTGAGATGGAGTCTCACTTTCTTGCCCAGGCTGGAGTAGAGTGGCGAAATCTCGGCTTACTGCAAGCTCCACCTCCCGGGTTCAAGCGATTTTTCAGCCTCAGCCTCCCAAGTAGCTGGGATTACAGAAGTCCATCACCACACCTGGCTCATTTTTGTATTTTTAGTAGAGAAAGAGTTTCACCATGTTGGTCAGGCTGGTCTCGAACTCCTAACTTCAAGTAATCTACCCGCCTCAGCCTCCCAAAGTGCTGGGATTACAGGCATAAGCCACTGCGCTAGGCCCTTGTAATAATATTTGGTAAGAACTCTTTTAAAAGAGATATGTACTGTCTACAAGTTCTGAAATCCTCTCTATATTTAGCATCCCTTGAAAAAAAAAGAAAAATTTGGATCCTACATATACTTTTCCTAGAAATGCACATAGCTGCAAGCTTTAAAAACAGACTGTGATGAAAATTACTTTCCAGGGGAGAAGTCTGATGCATGTACATGCTGAGATCTTAATTTTTCTATTAGGAAGGATGCTATCCTCTTTCTGAGTATGGAGCTTTGTGCTATCTCATTAAAACCGTGAAAGAGCTGTTCTCCTGCAAGTTTAGGAACCCAGTTGACCAATAAACAAATAAAAAAGAGTTTTAATTTTACCAGATAAGAGAGCATTAAAATCACAATAAGAGAACACTACACACCCACCAAAATGGCTACAAATTTTTAAAATATTAAATGTTGACAAAGATGTAGAACAATCAAAACTCCTAAACATTAGTTGTGGGAGTGTAAATGGGTACAGCCTCTTTGGAAAGTTGCTTGGCAATATCTAATAAAGCTACATATACACATATTCTATGACCCATATTTCACTCATAGGTATACACCCGACACATATGCTTATGTGTTCACTAAAGAATATGTATGAGAGTTTTCAGAACAGCATTATTTGTAATAGATCCAAGCTGGAAACTACCTAAATGGTCATCAACAGCAGAATGGATAAAATTGTGGTGTATCCCACTCTCCGAGAAAGGACAAAAGTTTAGGAACCATACATATGTTTACGAAAAAGCCAGAAAGCCAGAAGTTACTGCAGCATTGTTATGGTTGGTTTATATAGCCAATTGGCATAAAGAAAATGATACAATGAGGGCAAGTGGTGGTGAATACCAGACTCTGTTCTCCCTTTCAGGTAATACATCACTAGATCCATGTTGACAAATTATTTAGAGTCCTATGCAAATGCAATAAAATATTAAGCTCTTTCCCATGTTTGCTTATTCAGCTGGACAGACTTGAGGAAAAACAGAAAGAAACCTACCGGCGCATGCTAGAGCAGCTGTTGCTGGCCGAGAAGTGTCACAGGCGCACAGTGTACGAGTTAGAGAACGAGAAGCATAAACACACTGACTACATGAACAAGAGTGACGACTTCACCAACCTGCTGGAGCAGGAGCGGGAGAGGTAATGTGCACGCAACCACCGGTCACATCTGGATGCCCATAGCCCTTTCATGTCTGCCCCTCTCTTCAGGGATCAGTCTTTCATCCAGGGGCACTGTGGACAGGTGCCCAGGGTCTAATGCCAGTTTCTGAATGGGTGGTAACCACAGAAAATGATACTGAATTTTACCTGAGATTATTACATGAATGTTTGGGGGTTGCATGTAGGTAGGGTGTCACATTCCCACAAGGATGTAAGCCATGAAACCATAAAGCTGGAAAGAAACTCAAAAGACTTTATATTTAAACTTGATCAGTGAAACACCTACATTTGAGAAGTCTGTCTACAGATTGCTTTCTATTTGAAATAATCTAGTTTTATCCTTGGGGTGGAAATCTGCTTTTTCAGGATGGCAAATTCTTAAACTTAACCATTATAAATGAATCCTATTCATTTTTAATACCAGAATAGAAAATATTCGTATTTGGCTGTGTATAAATAACTTAATGACCAGAACTACCTCCTTAACTTCCTAAGGGCTGCATAACTCTTAAAACTTGAGGTTAAATAAAACAGCCACAACAATAGAAAACTTGAGTGTATTGAGCCTTGATGTTTATTCTTGTAGGTATTTATTTAGTCTTCTAGGATCAGGGATTGCCACAACAGAAGCAGAGACCCCAAACTGAGAAGTTTTGTAGTACACTCTTCTATACCATCTGTTATTTTTCCAGTACGTTTTAACTTATTATCTCCCTTCTTCCTAGGACGAATGGTTATGTCTGTGAATTCCACAGACTTTGAAACCAATGACATTGAATGCCCATGCTTTGAGTAACCAAGTATGTCTGCTTTTGTGTTTAGGGCTTGCAAATTGAGATCTACTAGGGAACAGCTTTACCTAGCCCAGCTTTATTAGAGATCTACTTTTACCAGATTAGTGTATATATGAGAAGAAGCTATCATAATTAGTAAATAAAAGCATAAAATAGAATAGGTTTGGGTTACACATTTTATAAAAAAATTATTGGTAATGTTTATTTATTATTGGATTCAGTACATCCCTTGGGGAAGGAGAAATGGAAAAGTGAACAATGGCTAAATTGTTATGTACTATATCCCAGACTTATGGTTTCTAATATTTGTTTTAAGTTCCTGTTAAGCTAAGGTTAACTAGCATCATGTTTGAACACGTAGACTAACTGATTTGACATCCTGGAGTAACCAGTGAGAATAAATCCCATTTCCTCAATCTCCAAGAACTTTTCCAACCTCAAGCTACAGATACTGTAAACAAGATTTTAAGGACAGTATAAATTACATATACAGTCATTTGTCACTTAATGAAGGGGATACATACTGAGAAATCCATCATTAGGTGATTGCATCATTGTGTGAACATCATAGAGTACTCTTACACAAACCTAGATGGTATAGCCAACTGCACACCTAGGCTATATAGCACAGCCTGTTACTCTTAGACTACAAACCTGTACAGCATGTTACTCTACTGAATTCTGCAGGCAACTATAACAGAATCATAAGTATTTGTGTATCTAAACATATCAAAGGTACAGTAAAAATATGGTATTATAATCTTATGGGATATTGGAAGGGGAAATGGCAGTGAATACCAGACTCACTGTTCACCCTTTAAGGTAATAAAGCACTAGACACATGTCAACACATTATTTAGAGTCCTATGAAAATGAAATAAAATATTAAGTGTATAATGAATATTAATGGTAATGAACATAAAAGTACTCTGTGGTGCCCAGATGTGGTGGCTCATGCCTGTAATCCCAGCACTTTGGGAGGCCAAAGTGGGTGGATCACCTGAGGTGGGGTGTTCAAGACCAGCCTGGCCAATGTGGAGAAACTTGTTTCTACTAAAAATACAAAAATTAACAGGGCATGGTGGTGCACACCTGTAATCCCAGCTACTCAGCCTGAAGCAGGAGAATGGATTGAACCGGGGAGGAAGAGGTTACTGTGAGCTGAAGCCATTGCACTCTAGCCTGCGCAACAAGAGCAAAACTCAGTCTTAAAAAGAAAAAAAGTACTCTGTGAACTATCACACTCTCTATCATGTGTTATTATTTCAGTTACTCTCACAGAACACAAAAATTAAGAAAACAAACAAAAAAAAACAACAACAAAAAACAAACAGTTGGAATAAGTATGTTCACTCCATCTACACACTTTAATTGAACCAACAACTCTGAAGGTGAACTTGTGATGCCCAGGCACACTGCTGTCATATATGCAATCCCTTGTTGACAGAAGTGTTGTTATGTGGCGCATGACTCTATCTACAACAATCACCTGGTTAGGTGTCCTGTGCTGGAATGTGATCAGGTAAAAAAGTAGCAACTTGTATTGACTTTTTAGAATATTGAAAATCAAGTAATTCTAAGAGCACCTGTGTGAATTATTTTTCATTACCTTGTAAATTATTTGATTTAGAAGCAGATATTTGTCTTTTCTTCAGTTTCCCACCTAAGCTAAATGCCCGAGGTAGCGTAAGTTCTCTTACAGAGTCATTGGTTTAATAAAAGTATGTGGACAGCGTGACCGTACTTATTCAGGATGTTTATTTTTCTTTGTTTTTGTTTTCCTAATTTTTGGTTCTGTAAGAGTAATTGAAAATAACATCTTAGAGGGCATGATAGTTCACAGAATGCTTTTATATTTGTTATCCACTAAGCCTATGCAGGATGTGTTGATTTACTACCTTCATGTTGGTCAACTCTAGATGAACAATTTCAATCCCCTCCCTCTTGTAGAAGTCGTTTAATTTTATTAAAATAATTACAACAGCCTCTCCTGAGCAAAATGCTATATAGAAAGTTTTAAAAGTTAAAAAAAAAAACTTTAAAAAAATTACCCTAACATGCTTTTGATACTTTCATCAGCACCACTGGGCTGCATTACTAAATTTTCACGTTTTAGGTAAGAATTCGCTAAGAGACCTTGACTCTTACTTAATTTTCATACCACTTTATGTTTTAAAATAATTTTTTATGGAATCAGTTATACTTTAGTGCTTAAATATTTTCTTTTTCTGTCAACATTTTATCTCAGCTCAACATTCTGACTGACCACCAGTGCATACATACCGTGGGCACTCTCTGATACTTTATTCTAAATTAAACATCCCCAGTAGGACCCGATAACCTAAGTTGGCGTCTCTGAATTTCTCTGCTATCTGAGGCGTCCACCGTGACTTGCTTGCCGAGTTCCCGGGGCAGCAAAGTCTGGGATTTTTCAAAGGTCAAGCCTGGGATTTCTGCTATTCTTTGGAAACCGCCCTGCTAAATCTGCTTTGGGTTAAATCCTCTTTTTGAAGTAAGCGGTCATAATTAGATCTACTTATGAGAGCTGGCAGGAGGCTGACCCCGAGGCTTTCTTTCCCTCGGGCCAAGTCGCTGGGGAGCCCCTCCCCAGCGCGGATCGTGGACCCTGGACCTTGGCCGGGTCGCCGCATCCCTGGGGCTCTGCCAGAGCCGGGACTGTCCAGGAGGCCCCTGCCGAAGCGCGCGACGCGGCCACGGCACCTGCGGGGGAAGCCGGACTGCAGCTAATAAGGAAGCGGCATTTCTGAGAACAAGTGGGAGTCCTTGTGTCCTATAGACTGTTCCAAATCCTTTGTTTGCTTTTTGTTTCGCACTCCCTTCCCCTTCTCCCAAAAAGACCCTGTGAGCAAAAAGCAGAGCCAAGAACTTTGCTTCGGAAACACTTCCCTTTCTACTGTGAACATGAGTAAGGGAAGAAAGTGAAGCTTGAGATAAGCCTGAGTGGTTTTCTCCTTATAATCACTCACTCAGCTTCTGTAATCACCACCGCAGGAGGTGAGACTCTGCAGACTGTCTCCATTCCAGGAGGCTTATTGATTTGGTGGTGGAGGGGTCAGGTTGGGGCAGAGCAGGGACTCTCCTGGCACCAGGAGCATCTCAGTTGCATTCTCCACATTTGTCCTGCTCTGTAGGGGTTTCTCGCCTCTTCCAGAAAAATGGTTAAAGATAGGAAAAAGGAACCCAGGCACACAGGATCAGTAGTAGCTGTCGATAAGCCATGCAGATTCAGATGTTTGATGAAGCCAGGAATCTGAGGCTCTGAATATTGCAAAAGAGTTTGAGATCAGCCCTTTCAAATACCTCATTCTACAGGTGGAGACATTGAGTCCTAGAACAATTATGTAACTCAACCAAGATCACACAGTGCAGGCCACTACTCTAGCACTTTTGTGTAAGTGAATACTTTGTGCAAATGGTTTCTGTTTCATTTTTTGTGTGTAGGTTCCCCACCCCACCCTCTTATATCCAAACTATGGCACAAAATTTTAAAAGGCAGGATGACGGCTATCATGAAGATATAAGAACAGAGATATTAGGACCAGTGGTGTCTCTAGAGTGTCAAGGTAGAAGCTTTGGCATAGCGGTCTCTCAGAAGGAGCGGCCTGGGACTTGTTTTGAAGTTGAATCTGAATAACATACACAGTGTTTTACTTAGCTTGCATTCTATTTTGAGTAGTTATCATGGAAGGCTAATGATATTTATGGGGGCACTTGATAAAGCCCTCCTCCAAATTAACTCCCTTGTTTTGCCACTGACCTAGACCCTATAAATGTAAAAACTATGTAAATTGCTGGGTGCAGTGGCTCAAGCCTGTAATCCTAGCACTTTGGGAGGCTGAGGCAGGAGAATCACCTGAGGTCAGGAGTTCGAGATCAGCCTGACAAACATGGAGAAACCCCATCTCTACTACAAATACAAAAAATCAACCAGGTGTGGTGGCGCATGCCCGTAATCTGCTGCACAGGAGCTGCTCAGGAGGCTGAGGTAGGAGAATTTCTTGAATCCGGAAGGCAGAGGTTGCGGTGAGTCGAGATCCTGACATTGTGCTCTAGCCTGGGCAACAAGAGTAAAACTCAGTCTCAAAAAAAAAAAAAAACTATATAAATTTTTATTTTTCACTTTTCAGGAATTGCTAAATTCATCTTGTATAAAAATTTCACAAA